TGTCTTGGAGCAGCCGGCTGCAACCCACGGTTGCGCTGAGCACCGCCGAGCCCGAGTACATGGACCATCTCTGCTGCAGCGCAGACGTCGTCATCTGCGGCAGCTGCTCATGGACCTCGACGAGCCCGAGGCTGGAGTCACCAAGATGCTGACAGATAATCAGGCGACCATCGCCATCGGCAACGACCACGTCACCAAGCCGCGCACGAAGCACATCCGGGTACGCCACCACTTCGTGCGGGAGCTCATCGCCGACGGAACCATTGTGCTGCAGCACTGTCCCGGCACGCAGATGGTTGCCGACGCGCTGACCAAGGCACTGGACAAGCAGACCTTCGAGCAGCACCTTCCACGACTGGTGGGAACCTCGACGGCTGAGACGGAGCAGAGGAAGGCACTCCTTGGGGAGGGGGGAGTGTTTGAGAGTTTCAGTGTTGAGAGTCAGTGAGTTTCTGTTTTGTGTTGAGTCCTTCCTAATTTGCCTTCTCATGTCGTGGTTTTGTCTTGTTTGCCAACAACACCTGCTTTGTGGTTTTTCCGTTGGCAAACATTCCTTCCTCTCTGCTGGCATGCATGTGTGCCAACTGCCTCTCCTCTCCTCCTTCCCCTACACACGTGAGTTGTGTGCCATGTGTGCCATGTGTGTGTGCATGCCCGTCATGCTTGGCAAATGCCATGTGTGCGTGCCATGCAGTGTTGTGAAGTGTTGTCTGTTGTGTATGCTTGCCTGCAAGCATTCATGCCATGCCTAGCATTGCTCTGCGCGCATGTATGCATGCTGCTCATTGTTTAGATTGTTTGTGTTCGTGCACACTCTGCCCATGTCGCCTTGGCAGCTCTGTTGACTGTATGCACTTGTCTAGTGTTTGTTTGAGCGTGCTGCCCGAGTTGATTTGGCAGCAGCTTGCTGTGCTTGTTCATTCTCCTTGTGTTCTTGTTTGTTGCGCTTGCCTACAGTAAACACACACACCACCTGTCGTGTTTCTACACTTCGTGGAGCTGACACCGCACCTGCAACAACACCATCCACGCCACATCACTGCGTTTGGCGGCACACGTGTGCCTGTGCGCGGTGTTGGCTCTGTGCTGTTGCATGCACGCACGACGAGCGGAGCTACGATGCAGATTGTGCTACAGGAGTGCCTCTACGTGCCCGAGGGCCAGGCCAACCTCATCGCCCTCGGTCGTCTGACTAGGGACAGCAGCGGCAGGCCAACGGGCCACTCGCAGCGTGATGGCGCTGATGGGCACTACGTGCGCTTCAGCCACGGAGCCGAGGTCAAGCTGAAGGAGCGCAACAGCCTCCGGTGCTGGCCCATTGTTGCTGTTGGTCCATCCACGGCACACGGTCTCACCGCCGATGCCTGCAAGCAACCACAGCAACCCGCAGCAGCTCCTGCAGCCCAGAGCAAAGCACAGACACCATCGATGCATGAGGTGCTTGGCCACCGCAACGACAACGACGTGCAGCAGTACTGCAAGCTGATGGGCATCGACGATCGCAACGCCATCAGCAGCAAGCAGTGTACAACGTGCGCAGTGACCAAGAGCACTCGTCACAGTGTCAGCAAGCACGCGGAGCGCACACAGGTGCCCGGCGAGCGCATCCACGCCGACATCGTCGACTGGACCGCGGACTCACCCACGGGCAAGCGCTGCAGCCTCGTCATCGTCGATGAGGGCAGTAAGCTCTTACATGCAGTCCACCTCAACGCCAAGAAGGACGCAGTTGCCGCGTTCCAGTCTTTCCTGCGCGAGACCAAGCTCCCCATCTCACCCACAACAACAGCACTCCAGACGGATTCCGATGCCATCTTCCTCGGAGCTGACTTCCAGGCCATCGTCAAGAAGCACCTGAAGCAGCACCAGCAGTCCCCGCCGTACACCCAGGCGCAGAACGGCATCGTCGAGCGACAGGTGCGCACCCTCTCCGACATGGTGCGAGCCATGATCACGGGTGCAGGCCTTGACGCATCGTACTGGAGCCTCGCCTGCAACCACGCCCTGCACATCCTCAACAACATGCCTCGCCCTTCCCTCCACGGCAAGACACCGCTGCAGATTGTCACGGGCTCGCTGCCC